CCGAAGCCACCCGGCTGCTCTTACGACCGAGAAGTATGGTTTAAGCAAGAAAGAACTCTTGAAAGCCTGTACCGATCGAGAAATATTGCTCATGAGGAGAAATTCGTTCGTTTACATCTTCAAATTGTCTCAAGTGAGTGTTAATAGAACTAAAGTTTATAGAGTCGGTTTAAACAAGAACGACGACCAAATAAGAGAACATAAAAATGGCCAAATCATATGTGATTTTACACTAAAATATCACGTCTAACTTCGTCTTAACATCATATTGTAACACTGTTGTAGAAAGCACGTAAAAGTTGGTCGGTTCTAAAAATATTCTATTAGGACGCCCAACGATGGCCGCACTATAACAAAACTGGGTTTATATGACCACATCAATTTCTGTCGTAGTGTTTGTTGCTTAGCTCTAATCACGATTATTCTCGTTACAGCTGCTTATCATGTCGTTGGTCACCATGACCGTGTTTCTAAGAAGCGAGATGAGTAGGGATACTCTTGAGGATGGAGGGATATATATCGGAGCTCTATACCTCGGTGTCGTTATGATCATGTTTAACGGGATGTCCGAGATTTCAATGACGATTGCAAAGCTTCCGGTATTCTACAAGCAACGAGACTTCTTGTTTTATCCTTCGTGGGCGTATGCTCTTCCATCGTGGATCGTCAAGATTCCCGTTTCGTTTGCTGAATCTGCCCTTTGGACGATTCTCACTTACTACGTTGTAGGATTTGAACCCAACGTATCGAGGTAAATAGTGTTTTTAATAGTCACTACAACGAAATCGGTTATATGAGACGTCAAATATGTCTAAATATTCTAATAGACAGGACTTAGGTTTATAAGACCAAACAATTATGCATTTTATGTACTTCTAATAGATCACTTTACAGGACTTAAGTTTACAGGACCAAACACTTGTGTGCCATATCTAATGGTTTTGTGTCATTGTTTCTTACGAAATCTCGACCGTTTTGCAGATTCTTTCGACATTACTTTTTACTCCTCGTTGTTAATCAAATGTCTTCCGCTTTGTTTCGATTCATTGGGGCAATGGGTAGGAACATGATCGTCGCAAACTCATTTGGTTCATTCGCGCTTCTTTTAGTCTTTGTGTTGGGTGGTTTTGTTCTATCGAGAGGTATTATAGCTTACTACATTAAGAACCGATACAAATCAAATCTTTCTCGTTCTAGCTAATCGATAAGAGCGTTTTCCTTGTTACAGACGATGTAAAAAAATGGTGGTTATGGGGATATTGGTCATCTCCGATGATGTACGCTATGAATGGGATCATGGTTAATGAATTTCTCGGGCCTCGGTGGAAAAAGGCAACTTACGTTACGTTAAATGCATTCTATGTGCTTTTGTTTTCATCGATCCGTTAAGATATTTTTTTCTTCAAATGCTTTCAGCTTGAAGACGGTATGGCAATAGGAAAAACGATAATCACTTCTCGAGGATTCTTCGCAGAAGATTACTGGTATTGGATTGCAATCGTGGCGACGTTCGGGTTTATCTTTCTCTACAACTTCTGTTTTGGTTTGTCTCTCGCTATTCTCGACCGTGAGTATCTCTCTACGCTTTAATTTTTGGTACGTACAGGAATCACTATAAGAAAATCGGTTTTATAGGACGCTAAATATGTCTAAATATAATAATCACACCAACAAGTTATAATTCGGGTTTATAGAACGCCCAATTTTTCTTAGCGTCCTAATCAACCGCTTTGTAAGACTTAATTTATAAGACCAAAAACTAACGCGTTGTAATAAGTTTATAGGACGCACGTCTTAACAAGTTTTTAAAGACACTTTTAATATAAAGTGTCACATTAGCAATTTTATAGGCCAATATTTGAAAACGTGTCCTGTAAAAACAAGTGTCTTATAAAAAAGATGGGTTTATAAAAATACTTTCTCAAAAGTGTTGTATACAATTGCTAATATGACATTTTGTATTACAAGTGTCCTAAAAAACTTGTTAAAATGCCCAAAGATGTCTTATAAACTTATTATAATGTCTTTAGATAGCAATGTTTTATTTTTTATTTTTATAAATTAAGTCTTATAAAACAGTCTATTAGGACGCTTAAAAATTGGTGGCGTCTTATGAATCCAATTTTGTTGTAGTGAACAGACTCCTTGGGCCCACACATTTGTTTCGTTCTATAAATCAGTCTATTAAGACATTTATACATATTTAACGTTCTATAAAGCCAATTTCGTTCTAGTGAATGTTGTTATACGTAGTGGCGATTCGGTAACGTTTATTGTGAACTTCTATAGCTATCGGGAAATCCCGATCAACTGTATCAACACAGAACGAGAGTGACACGGGAGCCACCGAGTTATCACCTACGGCAGGATCTGCCGATGGGAGCAACGGAACCAAGAAGAAAGGAATGATTCTTCCTTTCGAACCACATTCCATTACATTCAACGATGTCAAATACTCGGTCGATATGCCGCAGGTAAACATCTAAAGATTTCTTGATTATAAGCCAAAGTTATTATAGTAGCAAACGATTGAGATCCAAAGAGTGTTTTTTTGGATAAACGAGACGGAATCCTTTGGAAAAATTTTATTCGATCCGAAAAGCGAGCGTTATGATGTTTGTTGTAGGAAATGAAAGAACAAGGGGTGAACGAAGATAGATTGTTGCTACTTAAGAGCGTGAGCGGTGCTTTTCGACCTGGGGTTCTAACCGCACTAATGGGGGTGAGCGGTGCGGGCAAAACTACTCTGATGGACGTGTTAGCAGGTCGGAAAACGGGTGGCTATATAGAGGGCGATATCAGGATCTCGGGGTATCCGAAGAAACAAGAAACCTTCGCTCGGATTTCTGGTTATTGTGAGCAAAACGACATCCACTCGCCTCATGTGACGGTTTATGAGTCTTTGCTCTACTCGGCTTGGCTAAGGTTGTCAACAGATGAAGGAACCCGAAAGGTTAGTGCGGGGTTGTCTGGTTGATTTTCTATTAAGTCCTGTATGGATAAAAGTTGTCTGTATGGATTAATTTGTCTGTATAGAAAGAGAAGATTTTTATGTGGGAGAGTTTTTATAGATGGAAGAACCTTATTCTTTAATTGGGAACAACATATTGTAAAAACTTGGCTTTCTGCACAAACTCATCTTTTTATAGAATATTTGTGTTTATAGGATGTTTTTTTCAAACAGTGTCCTATAAAATGACTAATAGGACACTTTATTTTAAAAACGTCTTAAAAAACTTGTTAAAACACATAAAAACACCATATAGACTTATTGTAGCACTTTTAGATAGAACGCTTTATAGTTTGGTCATATAAACTTAAGTCCTATAAGTTATGTATTAGGGCGTTTTTTCGTTGTAGCATCTATTAAGACATTTAGACATTTTTGGCGTCTTTTAAAGCTGATTTTGTTACAATGAACATACGTTTTTCGCATTCGATGGAGGAATGGCCAGGGTAACGAGATTTGGATGTTATCTGCAGATGTTTGTCGAGGAGGTGATGGAACTTGTCGAGTTGAACCTGTTGAGGACTGCACTAGTCGGGTTGCCCGGTATCAATGGGCTATCAACCGAACAAAGAAAGCGGTTAACCATAGCGGTCGAGCTTGTGGCCAATCCGTCTATAATATTTATGGACGAACCAACCTCAGGACTAGACGCTAGAGCCGCTGCTATCGTGATGAGAACCGTTAGGAACACGGTGGACACCGGAAGAACCGTTGTGTGCACCATTCATCAACCTAGCATCGATATATTTGAAGCTTTCGATGAGGTACGTTCGTTAAATTCACTACAACCGGTTCGTATATATACCGTTTATACAACAAGCTTATCTCCCAATGCAGCTATTCTTGTTGAAAAGAGGAGGACAAGAAATATATGTTGGACCCGTAGGTCGCCATTCCTGTGATCTCATAAAATATTTCGAGGTAAGACGTTTAACCGAGTGTACGAAGATGATAAATTGGTATGCGACTAAAACCCGACTGTTTTTGTGAACCAGGATATCAATGGCGTAAGTAAGGTTAAAGACGGACATAACCCCGCGACATGGATGTTGGAAGTCAGTACTTCATCTCAAGAAGTGGCTCTCGGAGTCGATTTCTCGGAAATCTACAGGAATTCCGAGCTTTTTAGGTGAGTACTTCGATTTGAAAAACGTCCTATTAACCTTTCATAACTATGACACGTTACGTAAAAAGGTTAATAGGACGACTTTACCTGTTTGGGGTATATCATGTTGCCCAACTTCGTCGATAGAATTTGTTAGGTCGTTTAATTTCGTTCTAACAAGTTATTGTAATCTTTTTAGATACACTACAACAAAATTATGTTTATAAGACGCCACCAATTTTTAAGCGTTTTTAACTCCTAATAGACTGTTTTATAAGACTTAATTTATAGGACCAAAAAATAAAACGTCATATCTAAATACTTGTAATAAGTTTACAGTACGCTTTTAGACGTCTTAACAAGTTTTTTATGACACTTTTAATACAAAGCGTCGCATTAACTATTTATAGGACAATTTTAAGAAAGTGTCCTGTAAACCCATCTTTTTATACGACATTTGTTTTCATAAGACATTTTTTCAAATAGTATCATATAAAATAGCCAATACGATGTTTTTTTTATAAAAATGTCATGAAAACTTGTTAAGACGTCCAAAAACGCTCTATAGATTTATCATAATGTCTTTAGATATGATGCTTTATTTTTTGGTCATATAAATTAAGTCTTATAAAGCAGTTATTAGATCGCTTAGAAATTTTTGACGTCCTATAAACCCAATTTTATCGTAGTGAGTGTTACAAAAGCGCACTTTGATCTCTTCTAATGATGAAAACCGATGTATTATCACAGGAGAAACAAGGCCCTTATCGTGGAACTAAGCGTACCAGGTCCCGGTACGAAAGATCTCTACTTCCCAACTCAGTACTCCCAACCTTTCGTCGTCCAGTGTCTCGCTTGTCTATGGAAACAACGATGGTCCTACTGGCGGAACCCTCCTTACACCGCCGTTCGTTTTGCTTTCACCACTTTTATCGGCATCATGTTTGGTACTATGTTTTGGGATCTCGGTGGAAAGCGGTAAAAATTCCGAACTGAGACACTAATCGATCATTGCTTTGTTGGATCGTTGATACAGCGGTTCGATACTTTTTTCTTCGTGTACTATGCATTTCAGGAAAACACAACAAGAACTAATGAACGCAATGGGTTCTATTTATGCCGCGGCTCTCTTCCTTGGAGTCCAAAACGCATCAACGGTGCAGCCGGTCATAGACGTTGAGCGCACTGTCTTTTACAGAGAACGAGCTGCCGGAATGTATTCCGCTTTACCATACGCCATGGCTCAGGTGACTATATGAACATGTCTTTTTGTAACGGTATGCATCCGCGCCAGCTTGCGAGCACCTCGACAACAACAAAATTGGCTTGAAGTTAACAACTAGAACTACAACAAAATCGGCTTTATAGGACGTCTAGATTGTCTAAGCGTCCTAATAGAATATTTTATAGAACTTCGATTTATAGGACCAAACAATATAAAGCATCCCATCGAAAAATGTTACAATAGGTTTATAAGATATTTTTAGGCGTTTTAACAAGTTTTTTTTAGGACACTTCTAATATAAAATAAAGTGTCTTATTAACTATTTTATAGGAATTGTTGAGATGTGTCATATAAACTCATCTTTTTATGAGACACTTGTGTTTATAAGACACTTTTTCAAATAGTCTTGTATAAAAAGTTAATACAACTATTTATTTTAAAGCGTTCTAAAAAACTTATTAAAACGCATAAAAGCATGATATAAACATATTGTAACACTTTTAGATATAATATTTTTTGATTTGGTCCTATAAATTTAAGTCCTATAAAATATTTTTTCAGGACGCTTCTACATTTTAGGCGTCCTATTAAATCAATTTTGTTGTAGTGTAGAAAAACCCTCCCGTGGTTCTGAGGGTACTTGAAAGGTTGAGTTTTTGTGAGACCGACATGTTTTCACGAGACCTGTGAAACCAACTGTCACAAAAACATATTGAATTTACACAGCAAAAACATTGTGAAGGTACAAAAACAAACTTTCATAGTGTTTTTGCTGTAAAGGTACATGGCTTTTTGTACCTTCACGGTGTTCTGTTACGTTATTTTTTGATCTCATGAAAATAGGTTGGTCTCACATGATCTCATGTCTATATAGACCTCTGGGGCAAGTCCAAGGTCTTACCAGTTAAGCTACCCTTCAAGGTCAACTTCTTTTCCGGTTTGAGACTCTACTTTCATGTTTGATTTACGCAGGTTCTTGTGGAGATACCTTACATTTTTGCGCAAACTATGGTTTACTGTCTCATAGTATACGCCATGATCGGGTTCGAATGGACCGCCGCTAAATTCTTTTGGTACACCTTCTTCCAATTCTGTTGTTTACTCTACATGACGTTCTATGGCATGATGACCGTCGCCATCACCCCCAACGTCAACGTTGCGCTCATTGTCGCAGCTGCATTTTACGGATTCTTCAATCTGTTCTCCGGATTCATCATCCCACGACCCGTAAGTTTCTTAACTCTCTCGGTCCATGTTAGATTCGGCTAGATTTGGACCTATTTTCTTCGGTATATGTTGGATACTAATGGGGTTCCACATCTTCTAACATGGTACCGGAGTCGATTAATGCGCATCTATGGAGCGTATTAGAGTTCCACATCAGCTAGACTTGACCTATTTTATTCGATATAAGTTGGAACCCCCTTCTCTTCTTTAGTGCTTTTTGATGAGTAAAGTGATGAGGTTCCACATTTTTTAACATGATATCAGAGCCAATTAATATCCGTCTAGACTCTGTTGGATGGGGTGGGTCCCACATTGGCTATGATCTACTTTCTTTGATGCTTGTTGCAACCCCTTCTCTCCTTTAGTGCTTTCTAAAAGGAGTAAACAGATGGGGTTGCAAGTTTTCAGATGGTATCAGAGGCAATTAATATTCCTCTAGCCTTAGTTGGATGGGCTAGTTCTAGAGGTGGACCTAGAATTTTTTTTAAATGGTGGCACCATTTGACTATAAAAAAAAAGATATGAGTATTTTTCATAAAATCATCATTGTTCTGTTGATTAGTTATTTGTTTTTCATATGTAAGGTCTTGGGTTCAATCTCATAATGCAAATTTTTCAGAAACATAATAAATCTGAAATTAAAGGCTAAAAACTAAGAAAATGTCACAGACGAGATTCAAACCTGCATCTAGAAAAGTCATGCAAACTAATTCTACCAAGGGAAACTTGTGTCATACATCATTGTAGTTTCAAAATATATATGGTTGCACACAACAAAATGATGCGGTAACACCTTTCACGACCGTATAATTTTTTACACTACAACGGACGAACGAAGCAGTGGCCATGACACCATATCCAGTGGAGTGGTTCCACTCCTGGCTGGGTCCCACATCCACATCGTCTAGGATCTATTTTCTTCCATATGTGTTAAAACCCCTTCTCTACTTAACGTTTTCTTTTTCTTTTTGGAGAGTAAACTGATAGGGTTTCATGTATTTTAACATGGTATCAGAGCCACAAATCCCTTATTCTTGATCCCTAATCTTGGATGTTCACAGAGAATTCCAGTGTGGTGGAGATGGTACTTCTGGTGTAATCCAATTGCATGGACCATCTACGGCATGGTCGTGTCGCAATTTGGCGACTATGACGATGACCTACTGACCAACGGCGAGACCGTGAAAGCGTATCTGGATCGATACTTTGGCTACAAACATGATTTTCTCGGTGCAATCGCGGGAGTCCACATCGGGTTAGTTCTGTTTTTCGGGTTTGTATTTGCTTACTGCATCAAATCCTTCAATTTCCAAAAGAGATGAGACCAAACCCACATGTTTTAAACATCAAATTGTGTTAAAAGATTCTTATAACATCCCAAATTGATGAAAAAAATTTGGTATGGATTTGCAAAACTAGTTATTGTGAGCTTTATATGTAATTTGTGTAATTCATTGTTAAAAAAATACAGTTTTAGTCCTTATTTGTTTTTCATAAAAAAACTGTTATTAGCTTCTTATGTCTGATTTGTTAAGAGGCAAGACCATCTAGACTATTTGTTTTTCTAATTTTTTAGAGGCACTTATGTCTTATTTTCCTCTTATTTGATAAGAGGTAAACCAACTTCTGATTTGCCTCTTATTGTTCTTCAAATCCTCAACAACGACGTTTTGTCAATCGATTAACATTAATCGATCATTTCTCTCAATTGATCCTTACCAAATCAATCCTCATCTCTCTTAATTAATGTATTTTAATAGGATGTAAACGTGTTAAACACCGTCAATGACATATTTTCGTGTAAATAAATGTTAATTATATAATTTAGATGTAAATTTCATAATGATAATGAATAAATATGTGAAATTGTATAAATTTATCTATAAATTCAACACTATAATTTTTAAGTGGATAAAGTAAATCAGTTTACAAAAACAAACAGTCTTATTGATTCAGATTTCAGACTTTAACACCACCTCTTATAAATCAGAAGTGAAATAAGACTTCAAACTTCAGTACCTTTTAAAAAACAAACGCCACCTATAATAAGGTATTTTTTTTAATGCATAATATTTTTAAATTCAAGTTACATCTATTAATTATTGTATAGAATTTGAATTTGATTAGAGTTTGAGTTAGAGATGGCCAAAATGCCCCAGCCCTGCGTAGGACCGGGACTGGTTATGGGACCAATAGGGTCAGTCACGAGTTTCTGCTAGAAACACGGACCGACTCGGTCTAAGACCGGTACCGGTTACACACAAGGCCCAATTTTTGAAATTCTAGCCGTTTTATAGTCGTGGTCATATGGCCTCGTTTTTTTTTTTGGGTCTTTTTAACCCGTTTTTGTTCTTTTCAACCCCTCTATATCGTATATAAGTCATATGGTTTATGGGAAAAGATATCAAACTCATAAACGAGTATTTTTTTGTCCCTTTTAACCCGTCTACGCTATTTTTTCCCCTTTTAACCCGTATACACTTTTTTTTATTAACCTGGATATCCAACCCGCTATGCGAGCCGACTAATCCTAAGGCGACCACCTGCTTTGCAGATAGCCCGAAGTCGCCGCATTTGAACCTCCGTGGCCACATGGATATTTTTATTTATCCTTGGATTTGAACATGGGACCTCCTAGTACTTTTGACCTTTGGAGCCAAGCCCAAACCAATCAGACACCACCCTTGTGGTTCTGTATACACTTTTTGAGTAGATCAAAAGACGACAAATCGATGGATTGAATTAAGGATTTTTTCGGTCTCAGTGAAGACGTATCGACCATCGATCTTGCCATAAATGAAGCATGTTAGAGTTGTGGACCTCGGTTGAGTTTCTTGTAACGTGGGAAAATAGAAGTGCACTGTGAAAAATGTGGTCGGCTTAGAGTGGAGCGAAATTTCACGTTGAAACGACACAAGGAAAAATAGCTGCCCAGTTAAAGAAACTACGAATTTGACCCAATCACAAACTGAAAAAAGTAATAGAATGACTTGGATTTATGATGTCGGTTTAAGTTGAAATATGGACACGAAAACGATGATCCAACAAGAGTTGTCATTCAGCCACTTTTTGTAACTCAATAGATACGAGGAGGATCCATACGTCACTTCCATCTCGTACCAAATGGTAGGTCATTCTACCTAAAAAAGATATGCATTTAAAGCATAAATCTTACGCCTTGAAATGCAAGAGTTGTTTCTAAACCACATGTCCCCGTAGACTTGAGACGTTTGGAGCGGTCCAAAAAATGTTCAATTGTGGCCACTATAATTCGGGATTTAGTAAATGGTTGTTTGGTTGGTTTTCCATTAAGTCATGTATGTATAATACTCTTTGTGTAGATTGAAAAGGTTTTTACATAAATAGGAGTGTGTTTTTTAATTGGGAGGGGTAAGTTTAGGAAGAAAAAAAACTTCGCTTTCTACATAAAGCTCCTCCTAGAAGCTTATTCAATAAGTCATTTTTTATATTATTAAGCTACTCTCATATAGTCATTTATAGTTGACTGAGTAAGTTGAGTCTTGTTAAACTGCTAACAAATAGGCTATAACTGTCATATAGGTGGTCTTATAGCTTCAAAATCAATTTTTTTTTGGTGAGGTCACAAAAAAGAGAGTATATTTAGGGTTAAGTTCGTATGAGAAAGAGAGTTAAGTTGAGAAACGTAGAAAGATATCTCGATTCTTGGATGCACATTAGAGTGAGATGCACTAGATCAGTTCCCGTATCAAGCGTGATTCATGGATGAGTTTGAGATTAAAGGTGATCAAGGGTCCAGATCCTTTCTTACGTTTCTCACCTTAACTCTCGTTTTCGTATGAGCCTTCTCAATCATACAGACAGATTAATATAAGGGAAATTGACTCAAATGACCCTATTTCATAACCAAATTAACCTCCTAACCATGCTCATGTGACGAGTGATGTGGTATCCAACTCAGTATTATTTGTTCACTTGGTTAGTGACATGAATTTTTTTAATCTAAAATTAGTCTTCAACCGGTTACCCGAATATTTAAATGTTTAAAACTTTACATCTTAGATACCAAAATGGAAGTTCTAAAAGTATGTTACTCAAAATAAGAATCAAGTTAAAGTACATTATTTTTTCATGTAATTTTCCCTTAAAAATATATAATTTTGTTCAAATATCTAAAAAAAAACATTGTTTTTATCTGTAAGTTTATTAATAAAATTTCTACTTTATATTTTCAAGCTATGTTATAAAACTAATTATATAACAAATTGAGTATATCACGAGCTTTTCGAGTTGAGTATTGGGTAGCTCGACTCAACTCATTAGTATGTCGGATCGAGTTCGAGTCAAGTGTTGACTGAATCGATCTCAAGTAGCTCGTGAGTTGTCTCGTCTCATTTATACCTCGTAGTTCCCGTATCCATCGCGATACTTTGTAGTGTGATATTTATGTACTTTTCCTTCTTTAATTACGTTGCTACATCTTCCATTGCAAGTCTCCGTCTTTCGTTTCTATCGTTGTAGGTCCATCTGTTATGACTACTAATGCATCACATATTTAATGAACATCGTTGTACTTCGTATGTCATCGTCGCATCAAAAAAACAGATTGTCTAAGGGGTTGTTTACCAAACGTTTTTCGGGTAAGCGTTTACCCGATAAGAGTTATCACCCTCACTCACCTTACCAAGTAAGATTCTCAACCATCAAAATAGCATAGTAAAATTGTTGATAAGCATCTCTTACCTGGTAAACACTAATCGGGTAAGAATTACTGCCTTCCTTGTCATGCTCACCCCGTAGAGTAAGGGGTTGTTTGTTTACCTATTAATAGTTCCATTAAGAGGCAACCTCTCAATCGTTAAGAGGTGAATCTTGTTTGGTAAAAAAAAATATGCCTCTTAATGGTTCTAAAACCCTCTGAATGATTTTGTATCCTAGATCTCCCTTAACCATTAAGAACCCTAATTTCATTGTACACAATTACCAAACAATTATATTTCATTTTGCACTATTTAAGACGACATTAAAGTCTAATACAACTGTACTGTACTTTGTTTATTTTGTAACCAGAAAAATTTGTCTGACTATATACATTTGATTTGGACACAGTTGAAACGAATCAAAACCATTATGTATAACAACAAGATAACATCGTATCAGTATCGAAACCTACATTGTTAACATCTCTTAATTAAAATTAGGGTAAATTGCATAAAAAATTTAACGTACTTTAACTTGATTTATATATTGGGAAACATACTTTCAAAACTTCTATTTTGGTACCTAAGATGTAAATGTTTAAACATTTAAGTACCCGAATAATCGGTTGAAGACTAATTTTAGATTAAAAAAAATTCATGTCACTAACCACGTCATCAAATAATACTGAGTTGGATACCACATCAGCATGATAACCGCTTAATGCTTCAACTGGTTACCCAGTTTCTTAAATGTTTAAAACTTTACATCTTAGGTACCAAAATATAAATTCTGAAAGTACGTTACTCAAAATAAAAATCAAGTTAAAGTACGTTACATTTTCATGCAATTTAATTATCCTTAAAATTAATTATCGATAATCTTTATTAGTAACAACAAATTTATATGTATCGATTAAAAGTCCAATATGACATCTTAGAATCATTAATTCTACTAAGTTTGGCACATAATTCAGCCCGTAGCCACCCATCCACCCCTCTTATTACTGCTACAATATTCTAGACTCTTCTAGAATATCTCATTTTTATAAGAATCTACTTTTTGTATTTTTTCATCACAATATTTCTGATTTATTAAATTAAAACTTAAATAAAAGTTCAATATAATTTTTCTTATAAAAATCTCTTTTGTGGGTCCCAAATATTTAACATTAATAAATAATTATAAAGTCAATATAATATATAAAAAGAACTAACAAAAAGTCACTTTTGTGCCGTTTACCAAATACTTACTCGGGTAAGCGTTTACTTAATGAATATGACAATGACCAAGAATCTTACCTGGTAAGAGTGATGCAATGACCGAGAGTCTTACCAGATAAGTGAGGGCAATTAATATTATACTATTCCCGATGGGAAAACTGTTAAAAATGATGTAAATTTTCTTTTAAAACTGTTGACTTTTAATTTTTCGGTTTAAAGAATTTGTTGAAAATAATCTTACAACCACTGGTACCACAACTATTAATGCTACCTCCTCCGCCTACCACCGTGACCACGACCATTGCCGACGCTACTGTTGAAGTTCTAGAACGATGTGCTAGTGGGCCCAACTTTAATTTTACGACCATTATTTTTAGAGTAAGTTTTAAATCTGGTTCTTAACGTTTTTAATTTTCAAGAGATATTATCTCTAAAATTCAAAAACTCGGATTTGCTCCTTCATGTTTGTCAATTCTCAATGATTTTGGTTTCTTTATCTGACGGTTGTTATTTTTTTTTCGTTAAGTTTCGTTAAATGAGGGGTATTTTAGTCATTTTCACTATTTCATATTAAATAATATATATATATATATATATATATATATTATATTTTAAGTTTTACAAAAGGAAAGCTTTTTTAAAATTAAAATATGTTTTTTTTTCACTTCTTTTTTTTATAATTTTTAATTAAAAGTATAATATTTATTTAATTTTAATAAATTAAAAAAATAGTGAAATTGTCTAAAATACCACTTATTTAAATTTTAAGGGAAATTTTTAACGACCGTTACACTAAAGGACCAAAACCATTGGATATTAACAATTGTAAAGGATCAAATCCAAAATTTTCAAGTTTTAAAGTGATATTCATTAAAAATGGTAAATATCAGGGGCCAAAATGAAAATTTATTTTTATTTTGCACTATACCATGAGTGTCTTTTAATCATTTTGACCATTTAATTATTCTGAACCAAACCATTCAGAAACTCTCAAACAGTCCATATAATAATTAAAAATTGAATTGATTATGAAGATATAGGGGATGATAATTTTGTATCAGACTAAACCAATTAATACAATGTATTGATTGTACCAACTTATAGGCTGTTTGTTTATCTCTTAATAGTTTCATTAAGAGACAACATCTGAACCGTTAAGAGGTGAATCTTGTTTGGCAAAAAAAAAAAAATGCGCCTTAATGGTAATAAAACCATATGAATGATTTTGTATTGTGTGTCTCTCTTAACCATTAAGCGTCCTAATTTCATTATAAACAATTGTATTTCATTTTGCGCTATAAAATCAGAGTCTCTTAATCATTTTGCACCAAACTATTCAACAACTGTCAAATAGCCCCTTAATTTGTATCAATTACAATCAATTAATAATATATGCAAATTGATTTATATACGATATTGAAAGTCATGTACCATGGTAGTACGTTGTCACCAACTTATGTAATTAATTATTTGCTTAAGAATATTTTATGTATTGAATATTAAAATTTATAACTTTAACTATTTTGTTTGAACATTTGAATGTTTGTAAGTTTTAGTATTTGTTTGTTTACTTCTTAACAGTTCCATTAAGAGGTATCATCTGAATAATTAAGAGGCGAATCTTGTTTGGCAAAAAAAAAATCTGTCTCTTAATAGTTCTAAAACCCTCTGAATGATTTTGTATCACGGGTCTCCCTTAACCATTCAGCGCCCTAATTTTATTGTAAGCAATTACCAAACAATTATGTTTCATTTTGCATTATATCATGAGAGTCTCTCAATTATTTTGACTACTTAATCATTTTGCACTTAACCATTCAACAACTGTCGAACAATCCTTTAGTCCATGCAATTAAAAACAATTAAACATCACATGTGTTAACTGAAAGCTCAAAATATCATTCAAGTTTTGAACATAACGACAACTTTTCATACACGTAACTTAAATTTGGTACAAAACCGGTATCAACCAAAAAAATCTGGTATCAATTAAGCTGGTACCAAGTACAGTTAGATGGTAGACCGTGTATAAGATTTTGCGTACCAATTATAATTTATTCGTATACAATATTAAAGAAAAAACTGGTACCGTATCAAGACCACCTGTGCAAAAGCTTATTATGGTAAAAAAAATTGCATTTTATAAGATCAATATAAAAGAAATTTACAACATTTTCAACAGATTTTTTCAAAATTTCTTTAAAATAGAAAAAAATAAAAATAACTTTAAAAAAAATTAAAGTCAACTCCAACAACTTTTCAGTTCGAAATACATTTAATTATATCAGCAAAATATTCAACATATTTAATAAAATATTGTTTATTTCTCATAAATATTTAATTTCAGTATTTTTTATTACTGAACATATAATATAAAAGTATTTCTCTCCCCTCGTAATCATTTTGTAAAAAAAAAATTCATATGTGAAGACTTTTACTGTCTCTCGTAGTTTTCTTCATTTTGTAAAAAGTTTTAGAGAATCTGTTGAAACAAAAAATTATTCAGATTTTTTTATTTTTTTTAAATTTAAAGAATCTGTTAAAAATCTCTTCTAGTATTTTTGATTTAAAACAACGAAATTCCGACCTGTGTGGAGGACTACTCAGATCAATTCATGTTTCTAGAAGAAAAACTGCGTAACAATCTGTAAAATTACTGAATTGAAAACCTACTTTTAATAATTTGCTATAAAAGTTTATTTTTAAAAATTATTATTTTTAATTTGGTATTTACATTTAATTGGAAAATATTAAATTTTAAGGATCTTTTACAAAAATGGTATTTATAACAACCAATTGGCTTCATAATTAATTTTTTCAATAAATGAATTAATTTCATTTAATCTCATCTAGAAATCTAAATACGTTAATTATTCATCCAACGGTCCAGATTCAAGATGATCCGTCGACTATAATAATCATGTGGGGTCCACACTACACGAGCATCCCCTTACCATTCTGGTTAAAGTCCCGCGAGAAGTTTCAAATCCTGCCATTATTAAACACCATAGAAAAAGCTTCAACTTCTTCCTCTTTAACCTCTCTGCAAAACCCTAAAATTCTCCCGAAGTCATTAGGGTTTTCAGAAATCAGAGCGAAACCCTTTTTTGTTATTGATCGAATTACGGAAACCCATTTCGATTTTCGGCATTGATTTCAAAAATCCATTTATATTTTGGGATAAAAAAGTTGGATTTTCGCTATTTCGATTTGGGAGTTTAGGATGGATGGAAGTGATATCTATCGAGCAAGTAATGGAATACGATTAGGGAGTTTACGAGCAAATAGTGGAAGAACAGGGAGTTTGAGAGCTTCGAGTACTTCGGCATGGAGGAATTCCACCATGGATGTTTTTTCGAAATCTTCTCGTGAAGAAAACGACGAAGAGGCTCTTAAATGGGCTGCTCTTGAGAAGCTACCGACGTTTGATCGATTGAAAAAAGGTTTATTGTTTGGATCAACCGGACCCTCGAATGAAATCGATATCGATAACCTTGGAATGCCGGAGCGAAAGCGATTACTCGATCGGCTTGTGAATGCTGCAGATGAAGATAATGAGAAGTTCTTGTTGAGGCTCAGAAATAGAATCGATAGGTACCGACCTTCTTTTCCCTTTGTTACTGTCGTAATTTGTTGATTCACTACAACAAAATCAAGTTTATATGATACCAAAAGCCTTGTAATAAGTTTATAGGATACTTTTCGGCTTTTAGGACTATCAACCATTTGATGGGATACTTTTAAGTGGCTGATTGGTATGTTTCCGTTAAGTCACGTACGGATAAAGCTGTTTGTATGGATTAATTTGTTTCAATAGATTGAGAATTTTTTTGTTTTGGGAGTGTTTTTTCATAGATTTAACCGGTAGTAAAACTTGGTTTTCTGCATAAAGTTACCTCATAAAAGCTTACTGAATAAGCCATTTTCTATATCATTAAGCCACTATGCATCTCATTAATCTAGCTAAACGGGCCTAAGAAGTGTCCATATTTTTTTTTTCTATTGACCCCTTTTCAATTAGTGTCATATAAAAAAACTAATAGGACACTTGGTTTAAAAAAAGGTGAGGGATGTATGAGTTTATTTGTTGCATTTGCCGTATATAAATATTATATACTTCAAAAAGAAAAGGGTAATAAGACACTTGTTTTAAAAAAGGTCCTAAAAAGCTTTTTAAGACGTCCAAAAGTATCAGATAAACTTATTACAAATTTACAACACCGTTAGAGACGACACACAAGTGTTTGGTCTTGTAAAGTGAAGTCCTAAAAAATAGTGTATTAGGACACTTTGACATCTTTGAGATCTGTAAGTATATATTTTGAGAACTTGAAACCAACTATTCACGCTTTATTCATCATGAATGTTGTCAAGTATACATACTTTATTCATAATGAATCAATAACAAAAATACGTCATATTCATGATGAATATGCATTATATTCACATAAATAACACACAAAACAGTTGATTTCAAGATTCTCAAAATATTTATATGGTTCTCATTTGAACTTTTCCCGTCATTACAATATATTTGTGTTCAATGAATTGATTGAACATGCCACAGGGTTGGAATTGAATTGCCAACAATTGAAGTCAAGTTTGAGCATTTGACTGTGGAAGCAGATATTAAAACAGGAAGCAGAGCTTTACCCAGTTTCATCAATTTCTTCTATGATTTTGCAGAGGTAAAGAAATCTTGGTTATACTCGATGTTCGTTAATTTTTTCCGTTAACGTTTTAAGGAATTTTGACCATGTCTGCTCTCGATAGGTTTTCTTGAGTTTTCTCCATGTACTTCCGAATACGAAAAAGCATATAACCATCCTTGATGATGTTAGTGGTATCATCAAACCGGGCAGGTGAGAAGGAAAGAGGGGAAACGCTAGTTGCTTTTATATTGTTGCGTCGTTTTCAATATTATGGCATCCGTTTGTTCGTTGTGCTGACTCTACGTTCTTGATATTATTATCCAGAATGACGTTACTTTTGGGTCCTCCAAGTTCGGGGAAGACCACATTGTTGTTGTCGTTGGCCGGGGGTCTTGCTAAGGAGCTTCAGGTAAATCCTTGGTTTTTTTGGTAACCGTGGGGTTCGGTGCCAGCTTACACGCATTGAATAATCCTACGGGTAACAACGAATGGCCTGGATGGCCAAAAACCTTCCCGGTCCTTGATTTCCTTTCTGTAACCTGTTCCGGCCCGACCAACAACCCATGTCCCAGTCTCCTTTAACCATAACCGGTCCTTAGAAAGGTCCCGGTCCCGGGCTGGGTCCAAATCGGTCCCAAGTGTTTTTTTTCCCAAAAAATAATTGTGAACATATAAAAATTCTTGTTTAATGATTTTCTATTTTTTGGATGATATCTTATTGAAATACACTATAAAATCTCTAATTACGTCATTCAAATAATGCACTTCGAATATTTTTTTTAAAATCTTTTTTACAAAAAAATATTGTAAATGATTTTATAATTACGATTTTGAAATTTAGTATTGGAACCCTTTAAAAAACTCGAAAAACTTGAAATAAACTCGAGTTTTTGGTAAAAGAAACTTGAAAATCTTGGAAAACTTGATATATAATTTATAAAAACTTACTTTTTAAAAAAATGGGCCTATGTGTAACCGGTATCGGGCCGGTCCCTACCGGTCTCAATCAGTCCCAGTCCAGGCCCTATGCTTGTCCAGGGCCGGGCCCATTTTGGTCATTGCTAGTAACCGATGTGGGACTCCAACACACCTCCTCAAACGAAGGCTAAATGGTGTCCTCAAGAACAGATAGGAAAGAGTGTGTCAAGTCCTTAGTTTTGTGCTAGACTCCGGCTCTGATACCTTGTTAGGATGCGTGGAACTCCTTTAAATTCTCTCCAAAAAAGCCCTTTAATAAACAACGGAGGTTCCTGCATATATATATATATGTGTGTGTGTGTGTGTGTGTTTGATGGTCTGTGTCTAAGCAGATATGGGACTTCGACATATAAAATGCTTTATTTCACATTCATGATCTTTTTCCAACTTCAAATTCGAAACTTAATTCATGTTGTAGATATCTGGAAAGGTGACGTACAACGGCCATGAGTTACATGAGTTTGTACCCGAGAGAACATCCGCTTATATCAGTCAAAATGATGTTCATATTGGAGAAATGACCGTTAGAGAAACACTGGCGTTCTCCGCCCGATGCCAAGGAGTTGGATCGCGTTATGGTTAGTTTAAATGCATTTTCATCTCTCCAACAAAACGGTATTCAAGATCTAGAGCATTTTTTAACACCACGTTAAATGTTCGGCTTGTCTAATAAATCTCAGAGATGTTGGCGGAGTTATCAAGAAGAGAGAAAAACGCAAACATTAAGCCCGATCCCGATATTGATATTTACATGAAGGTAAAGAGTAAAATATTTTGAGAACCTAAGAATCAACTATTCATGAATTATTCATGATGAATATATGCATAATGATAATCATGATTCGAATATTTTAGGGTTATTTATAATGAATAATTCATGAAATAGTTGGTTCTCAAAATATATATGGTTTCATTTGAACTTTTATGAACCTGGAAACCAACTATTTCATGAATTATTCATTATGAATAACACTAAAAGATTCATGTATATTATGCATCATGATTATCATTTATGTATATATTCATCATGAATAGTTGGTTAAGATTCTCAAAATACATACGGTTTCTCATTTGAACTTTCTGCTGCGTTTCAAGATCGTGGTTTCTTACATAAGTTTCGTGTTCTTGAATCAAGTCCGAGCATTTCAATAAACGCTCATAGAATTCTGATTGCTTCTCGTGTTATCCAGGCTGCTGCAACAGAAGGTCAAGAAGCTAATCTTGTCACAGATTATACGCTCAAGGTACGCTATAACCATCTTAATACGCTATTTAAAGAAAACCGACCAACTAGATTTTGAAAACAAACTGTTCTTCGAGCAGATATTGGGATTAGACATATGCGCAGACACCATGGTAGGTGATCGGATGATTAGAGGTATTTCAGGTGGTCAAAAAAAGCGAGTTACAACAGGTAAAAAGTTGTTCTTTTTCTTCAAAGATACAAGCGTACGAGACTTGTTCTTGATTTCTTGGTCATTTTACGCTAATTTGGTAACGGTTTACAGGTGAAATGATAGTTGGACCATCAAAGGTTCTTCTTATGGACGAGATATCAACGGGTTTGGATAGTTCTACAACTTTCCAAATAGTGAATTCGTTAAAGCAATACGTTCATATTCTCGAAGGAACGGCTGCTATATCGCTCCTCCAGCCTGCACCGGAGACGTATGATTTGTTTGATGACATTATCCTCTTGAGCGATGGGAAGATCGTGTATCAAGGCCCACGTGAAAACGTGCTCGAGTTTTTTGAATCTATGGGATTCAAATGCCCGCAGAGGAAAGGTGTTGCTGACTTCTTGCAAGAAGTAAGTATCGCCCGTCTCATGTTACTTCATCAAATAATTGGTTCTCTACTTCTCAATATTACCTATTCTCGTTTGAACTTGCATATATATATATATATATATATATATATATATATATATATATATATATATATATATATATAATGAAGAACCCATCTGCACTGTTAGATTGAGATGATCCAACGACTATGGTTGAAAAGGTAGTTAACCCTCTCGTGACATTTTTAGTGTTGGAATTGTGTTATAGGTGACATCAAAGAAAGATCAGAGACAATATTGGATGAGACAAGACGAGGCTTACAGATTTGTGACAGCCAAGGAGTTTGCGGAGGCGTACGAATCATTTCATATCGGAAGCAAACGGAAAGTCGAACTTGCAACCCCGTTTGACAAAAGCAAAAGCCACCCTGCGGCTCTTACAAACAATAAGTATGGTTTAAGCAAGAAGGAGCTCTTGAAAGCTTGCATCGATAGAGAAATACTACTCATGAAGAGAAATTCATTCGTATACATCTTTAAAATGTTCCAAGTGAGTAATTGCACTATAATGTTCCATTTCCTTCTTATCAGTAAGAAGTGAAATAAGACTTCAGAGTTCAACACCTCTTAAAAAACTGTTGGAGTCCCACATCGGCTAGACTTTGGACCATTTGTCTCTTTATCCTCAAGAGCTCTTTGTTTAGAGTAGTATGGTGGTTCCACATATTCTCACGTGGTATCAGAGCCAAGGTCTGCCACTCTAGAGCCAAGGTTGTCCACTCTAGGGACTCGACACTTGGGCTAGCTGCCCTGTCATCATTTGCACGAATGTCTTCTCCCTTTACATTTGAGAAAGTATGCTCCACCTTTTAGTCATTTGAAAAACTATGCTCCACGTACCATTGGGCGACTTTTTGAAGAGCTCATGGGAGCGTTTGTTTGGACCACTTTCTTCGATTTTAAGCCCTTTTCACTCATATTTAACAATAGACATAATAAAGGACTTAAGTAGACATTTTACGGGTAAAATGCCATAAAAATGGGGATCTTGAGCCTATTAACATATATTAAAATATGAAAATTGTAGCTATCAGCCACAAAGGTTGTGGCATAGTGGTTGAGGTCCTGCATGATGTGGTGGAATATCCCATCTGCTCAAAGCTTGATTCCAGACATACACAACAATTGTGGCCATTGAGTTTATCTGAGCTAATTTCTTGCACTCATAATTTGTTAGGGTCCAGGCATAGCCTAGGACACCCTTCCAAAAAAAATTCATAGCTATCACTAGCCCCCACTCGACATCCTGGGACCATTTGTGTCCATTTAGCGTCAGCTGTAGAGGGGCGTGTTGGAGTCCCACATCAGCTAGACCATTTCTCCGGTATATATGTTGGAACCTCCTGTTTCTCCTCAGAGGCTCTTTTGGAGAGTAATATGATGGTTCCACATATTCTCACAAAAACAAACAACTAATTTTGTTTAAATTTATGCTCAACATGTTTTGGTTTTTGCTTGTTTTCAGCTAACGGTTATGGCGCTAATCACTATGACCGTGTTTTTCCGAACTGAGATGCATAGACGTGGTATTGAAGAAGGAGGACAATACGTTGGTGCTCTGTTCTTCGGTGTCGTCATGGTCATGTTCAACGGGATGGCCGAGATTTCAATGACGATTGCAAAGCTTCCCGTGTTCTACAAGCAACGGGATTTCCTTTTCTATCCCACATGGGCATACGCTCTTCCTTCGTGGATTGTCAAGGTTCCTATTTCGTTTCTTGAATCTGCAGTGTGGGCAATTCTCACTTACTATGTAATAGGATTTGATCCTAACTTCTGGAGGTATTTGCTACTTACCATTCTTTTCTTGTTACCAGGGTTCATGTTCGTCTACTAAATCTTTTACCGCTTACTATGTTATATTCCGTTTGAAAGCAGGAGGGTGGGATGTACGTGGGTCCTATGGACACATGATCTTAAATGAGTTTTCAAGTAGAAACATGACCTACATTTTTTTAGCTTGATAATCACTACAACAGAATTGGGTTTATAGAATGCTTCAAATATGTAAGCGTCCTAATAGCATACTTCATAAGACTTAAGTCTATAGGACCAAACTATAAAACGTTCTATTTTCTAAAAGTGTTACAATAGGTTTATAGGACGCTTTTAGAATAAAGTCTCGTATTAGCTATCTTATAGGACAAATCTCAGAAGTGTCCTATAAACCCATCTTTCTATAGGACACTTGTGTTTATAGGATATTTTTTCAAATAATATCGTATAAAATAATTAGTGGAACACTTTTATATAGAACACTGGTTCAAAACAATCTACTTTCGGAAAACTTAGAAATACGCTAGAGGGTTAGATTCTTAAATCTAATTTTTGAGGTCATTTAGCTAAATAGCTGACGTACGTAGACCTGACCTCTACTGTGAGAGGGTAGAGCGGTTGTTTTTAGGCCGAGGGTCTTCTCAGAAACAGCCGATCTAGAGGTTAGGTCTGTGTCCATTTCACCCCTCTTGGGCCCTTCTTTCAAGTGGAATATAGTGGGTTTGTTCGGTTTGGTTCGATGTTACTAAATTTTTTCCATTTTTTAGATTTCTGAAACATTACTTGCTACTCGTGGTTGTCAACCAAATGGCTGCCGGATTGTTTCGATTCATGGGGGCAGCTGGTCGCAATATGATTGTTGCAAACACGTTTGGTTCATTTGCACTTCTCATACTCTTTGCGTTGGGTGGATTTGTGTTATCTCGAGGTGCGCTAACTTGGTTTACTTAACGTAAATATATTGATGGTTTCCTTTTTTCGATAGTAAACTAAATTACGTATATTTTTTTCTTTCCTAAAGAGAACGTAAAGAAATGGTGGATTTGGGGATACTGGGCATCACCAATGATGTATGCTATGAACGGAATAGTGGTAAACGAGTATCTTGGGCACAAGTTTAACAAGGTAACCGCTTTATGTGTAAATTCGTGTATAATAATATATGCATATCGAGAAGGCAGTCTTATAATGAGTTTCTTTCATGTCAGCCGTTCTTTGGTACCACACTAGGGAAAGCTATAGTCAAATCTCGAGGGTTGTTCGCGGAAAGTTATTGGTATTGGATCGCTATCGCGGCTTTGTTGGGTTACATGGTGGTCTTCAATTTATGTTTCATGATGTCTCTACAATTCCTCAATCGTGAGTTTTTGAACCTTTAACTCTTATAACGAAATGGGTGTTTTAGGAGGCCTAGCCGTCCTTGGATATTCTAATAGAGTACCTGAGAGAGGTTCAATGGGGAACCTTTTTTCCGTTGTGAACTGGGGGACAAAGGAGAGCGTGACACATGTCCTGGGTTGTCCACATTCATCATGAATAATGAACGTGAACCATTCATGATGAATAATAATACACCATTCTACTGATAGGACGATTTTCTTATTGTCTACTATCTGGTTGTCTAACTTCGTTGATAGAATTTGTTAGGTCGCCTAACTTTATCGTAAAGGACGAACAATTATTAGTACTATAAACTTAAGTCCTATTAAGTAGTCAATTAAGACGCTGAATGAGGGTTATTGCTATAAACTTTGTTACCCGTGTGTGACGTTTGGCATGAACTCTACAGCTTTCGGGAAATCTCAAGGAAATACATCGAACGAAGACCACGATGCAGCTGCCACCGAGTTATCATCCGCAAATCAAAACAATCAACCCAAGAAGAAAGGAATGGTGCTTCCATTTGAACCACATTGCATTACATTTGATGACATCAAGTATTCGGTTGATATGCCACAGGTAACTTGTTAGAGACACGAAGTAAATGGTTAAACAATTAGAACCCTGAACCCTGAACACTGAACCCTAAGAGTGCATCGGGTACACTCGACAAGACTGAACAGTGATCACTATTCCATGTTCGGCATGTGGAACAAGGTGGAACAGACCTATGTTTTACCGATTTAATTTCAAAATAAAACCTAATTCTCTTCTGAAACATCAAATACGTCTCCTTCTTTACATTATATTCATTTCTTTAAATTTTAATTATTGTATTTTATGCTATTTAAACTTTCACTTTACTGTTATCAAAATATAGTTTTAATAGGGTTTCTACATATTCATTAGTATATGCAATTTATTAAATATTAGTAATAAAAAAAATAATACAGAAAAGGTATAAAAATAAAAAATTGGAAACTATATAAACTTTTTATTTTGATGTCATTTTAATCGTCTTGACAAAAACTTTTTAATGATGTATTTTGTTATGAAAAATATTTATATTAATACAATTTAATAAATTACATAAATAAAGAAAATATATAAACAATTCAGTAGGGATAAATTGGTCATTTTATCTATTCTGTCTGTCTTTACCGAACCAAACGCTGAACAACTGTCTTTTCATCGTCTTATGACAAAATTTGCAGGAAATGAGAGAGCAAGGTACTGGTGAAGATAGACTGGTGCTTTTAAAGGGTTTGAGTGGAGCTTTTCGACCGGGTGTTCTTACGGCGCTTATGGGGGTTAGTGGTGCCGGTAAAACGACTTTGATGGATGTGCTCGCGGGTAGAAAAACGGGGGGAATTATAGATGGCGACATCCGGATTTCTGGGTATCCGAAGAAACAAGAAACATTTGCTCGGATTTCTGGATATTGTGAACAAAACGACATCCATTCTCCTCATGTTACTGTTTACGAGTCTTTGATCTACTCAGCTTGGCTACGGTTGGGATCAGATGTCAACGAAGAGACAAAAAAGGTTCGTGTTTTCATCGGGTGAACGTAGATAAAGCTCATGTTTTTTCCCCTTAAAATTTAGCATATCTGTATCTCCCTTTCACTCAAATCGCGGGGGTGACCCCACCTCCGGGTGACATATACTGGGCTCGCATGGTTTTATCAAGAATAATAGGGTGGTTTTGGTTTAATGTTTATAGATGTTTGTTGATGAGGTGATGGAACTTGTGGAATTGAAACCATTGAGAGATGCGCTAGTCGGGTTGCCTGGTATCAATGGGCTATCGACAGAACAACGAAAGAGGTTAACCATAGCGGTCGAGCTAGTGGCTAATCCCTCTATAATATTTATGGACGAGCCAACATCAGGGCTAGATGCTAGAGCGGCTGCTATTGTGATGAGAACTGTTAGGAACACAGTGGACACGGGAAGAACGGTTGTGTGCACCATTCATCAACCAAGCGTCGATATATTTGAAGCTTTTGATGAGGTAATAATAATTCTAAACTTCAAATCACTTTGGTTGTACCACAAAGATGAGTAGTGTGCGTGAATATTTGTTGTATATATATATATATATATAGAGGGAGGTTCGAGAAAACCCCAAAAAATGAAAAATTGAGGAACACCTTAATAGTCGTTCATCTGTACGGTATACACATGTGCATACAAGTAATTGGAGATGTTTTTTTTCTATGCATATTATTAAAGTGTTTGGTCCTATAAGACTAAAGTTCTATAAAGTAGTCTATTAGGACACTCATACATTTTTAGTCCTATAAACCTGATTTTGTTGTAGTGCCTCTTTACCCTTCACAGACCCTGCTTTTGAGCGAGATATATTGGGTTTGTTTGGTTTGATTTTATATGTTCGAACCGTTCTTCTATCCTCAAGGGCGTTTTTGAAAAATAATCTAACCGGGTCCCACATTTTTTGACATGGTCTTGCAGCTATTTTTGATGAAAAGAGGAGGGCGAGAGTTATATGTTGGACCTGTTGGTCACAATTCCTGCCATCTAATCAAGTACTTCGAGGTAGGATCCCGTAAAATTCGAGTAGAATTTGAATTCGATCTTTACTCCAATAAACCAATGGACTTTTTCGGTGAACCAGGATATCGAAGGGGTGAGTAAGATTAAAGACGGATATAACCCTGCGACTTGGATGTTGGAAGTCAGTACTTCGTCACAAGAACTGGCGTTGGGAGTCGATTTTACTGAAATCTACACTAATTCGGAACTTTATTCGTGAGTAACGCTGAACCGCAATCACTACGCTACTACAAATGTAGACAGTTATTTTGGGACAAAGGGAATTATAGGGGCCGTTCACTTTTTAGCCATTTTTTAACCCAAATTCACTTTTTAGCCAATCCTTACGCAGAAAGCTTAAGGATTGGTTTTCAGCAAAACTAGTAAAAAAAATAAAAAATAAGATTCCTTATGCAAAATACCCCTTTCTACGTAAGGATTCTTATTATTTCTTTTAATTTTTGCCGAAAATCAATCCTAACGCATATGCGTAAGCCTTCTGCTTAAGGATTGGATAAAAAGTGAACTTGGGTCAGAAAACGGCTAAAAAGTGAAAACCCTATTTGCTGATTGGCTATTTCTGTCAGTTTCCCTAATGACAAGGCCAAGAGTCTTACTCCGCAAGTGAGTGTGATGACTCTTATCCGGTTAGTGCATACCGGATAAATTATTACATATGATGCCGTTTTAATGGATTAAAATCTTACCTTAGTGCATACCGGATAAATTATTTACATATGATGATGTTTTAATGGATTAAAATCTTACCCGGTAAGCAAGTGAGAGTGTCGACTTTAACCAGTAAGCACTTACCGGGTAAGCGGCCTGATAGTTTCCTTGTTACTAACTTTTTGGTGAAACAAAATCGCAGGAGAAACAAAGCCCTTATCAAGGAACTAAGCGTACCGCGTCCCGGGACGAGTGACCTCCATTTCCCGACTCAATACCCACAGCCATTCTTCACCCAATTTCGTGCTTGCTTATGGAAACAACGATGGTCGTATTGGAGAAATCCTCCGTATACCGCTGTCCGTTTTGCCTTCACCACTGGCATTGGACTCATGTTCGGATCTATATTCTGGGATCTTGGTAGTAGAAGGTGAAAGACGAATGAAAGATGTTATTTATGGCTTAGAAATTTACGACCTTTATGCGTAGATTTTGATTTATATTCGTATGTTTCAGGAAAACCGTGCAGAATTTGTCTAACGCAATGGGTTCATTATATACGTCGGTGCTCTTTATAGGAATCAATAACGCATCCTCGGTCCAGCCCGTTGTGGACATTGAACGGACCGTCTTTTATAGAGAACGAGCTGCTGGAATGTATTCTGCATTGCCATATGCCTTTGCTCAGGTAACTATGCCGAACGTTTAATAATTTATGTATTTTACCGTTCATAATATGCCGAACGTTTTACCCATATATATATATATATATAGAGAGAGAGAGAGAGGTTCTTACAGGTTTGATGGCTCTGTGTCTAGCTGATGGGGCTCCAACATGCCCCCTAAGACGGAGATGGTGCCCCTGAGTAGGAGCATAAACGAGCTGAGCGAGTCGAACATTGGTTTTATGAAGCTCGACTCGTTAAGTCAAATGAGTTCTATTTCGTGTTCAAGAATGACTCGAGCTCGAGAATTATTAAGCTCGAGCTCAAGTAGCTCGTTAAAAGCTTGATTCGTTTACACCCCCATCCCCGAGAACGGAGGTGAAAGAGTGTGTTGAGTCCCTAGATCAGAGGCGGATCCGGCCAAATTTCCAAGCGGGGGTATAAAATAATTAATATAATATAGAAATAAAAAAGATCAATTATAAAAAGTACGGTTTAACTAATAAAAAAATATACCTCTAGTTTTTTACTGTAACAACCCAGACCAGCCCGTACCAGATATTGTCCGCTTTGTCCATATGTCTGGACTCGCGGTTTTGAAATGCGTCTGACAGAGGAGGTATCAGTCCCTTATAAGACGATCTTAGTTTCCCTCCCAACCGATGTGGGTTATCCGTGCTCTGATACCATATAAGAATATGGAACCCCATGATATCACTCTTCAAAAAAGCGCCGCTATTATCCGCATTAGTTGAGGAGAGAGGCGGGGTTTCGACATAAATCGAAGTAGAAACGTTCAGATCTAGTCGATATGGGACTCTAATCGGGAAAAACATTTTTTTCCTCGTGTTTTCTTTCACAGGTACTGGTGGAAATACCTTACATTTTTGCACAAGCGGCAGCGTACGGTCTTATAGTGTATGCGATGATAGGATTCGATTGGACGGCCGAGAAATTCTTCTGGTTCTTATTCTTCATGTTTTGCTGCTTGCTCTACATGACGTTCTACGGTATGATGACTGTCGCAATCACTCCCAATGCCGACATCGCTACCATCATTGCCGCCGCGTTTTACGGGCTCTGGAATCTGTTTTCCGGATTCATTATCCCAAGACCCGTAAGTTTCGTCTCTTAAGTATATAATTTATATATAGCAAAACTCACACACTCTTCACCCGACTTGAACCCTTGACCTCCACGATGGTCGAGCTCTACCAATAATTAATGTGGTTTGTTTGGTACAGGATGAGAGAGAAGATATTACCAACCTTCTAATTAATGTGTTTATTGTTGTGTTTCATTAAGAAAATTCCGATATGGTGGAGATGGTACTACTGGGGAAATCCGGTGGCGTGGACGCTGTACGGTTTGGTTGTTTCGCAGTTCGGGGACTACGAAGACGTGCTTACGGAAGGGGAGACGGTGAAGGGTTATCTACGTCGATATTTCGGGTTCAAACATGAGTTTCTTGGTGCAGTGGCTGGGGTTCATGTGGGATTAGTGATCCTTTTTGCAGTTATATTTGCTTATTGTATTAAGTCTTTCAACTTCCAAAAGAGATAGAAAGAAACTCCATTGTTTTTCAAGTTATTCAGCACCCAAATTAATAAGCTTTTGACGATAAGCCATTTCACTTTATTTGTTTGCATTCCTACATCCCTAGTTTGCCTTTGGGACCCACATGTCGTATTATCATATTTATATTTCCTTAATTTGTTCCAAAATAAATGTAAATATATGCAATCGTTACACCTTTTCAATAAGCGTTTACTAAGTCACGTTACTAAATGTTTACTTGAGTAAGTGTTTACCAAGTCACATTACCTTATCTGACAAGAGCGAAGGCAATGACTGAGAGTTTTACCTGGTAAGTGATAGCGACGACTCTTACCATGGTTAGCGTTTTTCTTGTAAATTTTTACATACAATGTTGTTTTGGTGGACTCATATCTTACCTGGTAAGTAAGCGATAGTGTTGAATTTTACTGGTAAGTGCTTACCGAATAAGTGTTTAGGTAAACGACCCCAAAATCATAATTTATTCTTAATAATATGGGAAGAAATTGAGATAAAATATTAACTACGTTTAGCTAGTAGAGAAGAGACGCATAAGACCTGATTTTTTTTTGGGTTTGGACCTTCCAAGTCCATTTTACGGTTTGGTCTTGGCCAGGCTGAGCTTCGGGGTTGAAAAAGGGTTCGATTAGGCTTTTTCAAACCTTGCCCCAAATTTTTTGGCCTGATCAGGCTTTGAGGTCTATAACCCGTTATGCATATGATGTTGTGATTTTGTTAACATATGAATATTTGATATTCCATAAAAGCAAAGTTTTGCAAATATGTAAGATTTAAACATGGATCATTTTAGATCGAGAGTGGTGTTTAACATATTTAACTAAAAATCTCTCACATAAACGGTCCCCGCCCCATTCCAATGCCTATCTTTAGGGCTAGTTTTGTCATTTTAGTAGTAGATATATATAAAACACTCAAAGATGTTCTATAAACTCTATGACATTGTTTCAAATAATATCTTATAAAATTGCTAATCCGACACTTTGTACTAAAAGTGTCCTTAGAAAAACTTGTTGAGCCGCCTAAAAGCGTCTTATAAACTTATTACAACGTCTTTAATAAGACATTTTATTTTTTAGTCCCATAAATTAAGTCTTACTATTAGGACGTTTAATTTTTTGCGGTCATATAAACCGGATTTCGTTATACTGTATATTATATTTTTCAGTTAACAATTTGAAGGTTTGAAGTTTTTTTTATTAACCAGAATATCCAACTCGTTATACAAGTCGACTAATCTCAGGCGACCATCTTTGCGGGTATTGCCCGGAGTCACCGCATTTGAACCTCCATGGCTACAAGGAGACTTTTATTTCTCTTTGGATTTGAACTGGGACCTCTAGACAATTTTGACCATTGGAGCTCAAACTCAAATCAATCAGACACCACCAAGAGGGAGTTACATAGGCATCATTTGAATCTATAAATTCTTATAAAAATTTTATTTCGACCCTTAAAATTACAATTCTGCCCCTATCTAATTAAATGGTTTGTGGTTTGGTTAATGCACGAAATAAAAAAGATGAAGAAGAGTTCATTTCGATAATAGGGTTACGACCATGCATGTTGGTGGTTGCCCACCGCTGCCACCTAGCAGTAGGCGGCGGAGCAATAGATATAGGAAATGTGTATGTATAGATTCTAGTTTTTCCATTAATGGTGGCTTAATTAATTAACTATTAATGTCGATGGTCGTCATTCGATCGCCATTAGAGCTGCTGTTGGTTATTAATTAAAGCTTGGTAGCTTTCCATTAGAACCAGACCTTAATCCAACCAACAATGGCGAATACCAGATACCATCACCATCATCATCATGTTCATGTTGTTGTTGTTGTTTTCTTGTGCTTATTTTGTTGCAGTCTTCAAGGCAGGCCATCATCCATGTCCAGATTCTGCAATTAGATCTGATGATTCAAGTTTTTGATATGATTGAGTGTTTAATTGTTAAATTAATGTCGTGGTTCGGGTGTGCAGATGATGCATGCAGGAAAGTGGGGTGTGGCGAAGGGCGGTGTGTGGCGGAGGACGACGGTGGTTCATATCATTGTGAATGTAAGCGTGGCTGGAAGACGATGATGGTTGCTCCTATGCCATTTCCATCTTGCATCGTCCCCAATTGTAATGAATTAGCTTTTTAATCCTATTATTATACATACATACATACATACATACATACATACATACATACATACATACATACATACATACATACATACATACATACATACATACATACATATAGATATCAGAGACGGAGAGAGTTAGGGGCCATTTACCTGAACACTTACCTGGTGAGCACTTACCGATAAAATTCAACACTATCACTTACTTACCGGATAAGATTTTATTCACTAAAACCCAGTAAGCACTAACCATGGTAAGAGTCCTCGTCCTCACTTACCTGGTAAGACTTCCGTTCTTGCCTTCGCTCTTACCGGGTAAGATTTTTAGTCATTGTCATATTCATTCGGTAAAGTAAAGTGACTTGGTAAGCGCTTACCCGGATAAGCGTTTGGTAAACGGCACCTTAGCTTCAAATGAAAAAGGTAACCAAATAAGAAAATAGTCGAATCACATGTGATTTTAAATAACATGTAAAACGTGATTTGATCTTTTTCATATTCTCTTATTTAGTTATTGTTCTCGTTTCAAACTCCCAATACATACATACATACATACATACATACATACATACATACATACATACATACATACATACATACATACATACATACATACATACATACATACATACACACACACACATACATACATACATACATACATACACACACACACACACACACACACACATATATATATATATATATATATTATGGTTAGATTCATGTGAGACAAGGTTGTTTTCGTGAGATACGTAAGACACGATTTTTATACTTGAAACTTGACAAAGAAAATGTTAAGGCTAAGAAAGCCGAATCTTCATAGCTAAAACACTATTCATAGTGTTTTTGCTATGAAGTTTCACGTATAAAAATCGTAAAACAACATTGTTTCACATGATCCCAAGTCTCTCTCTCTCTCTCTCTCTCTCTCTCTCTATATATATATATATATATATATATATATGGATTTTAATTCATCAACTTTAATTTATTACTATCGTTACAATAAAATGGGCTTTATAATAAGAAAAACTAATAGAATACTTAATGTGACGTAAGTTTACGGCCACTAACAATTTTGAGCTTTTATACAATGGCGTTACAATAAGTTGTTAGAGCGATATTACGTGATCTAAGAAGTTTTATTGATAAAGTTGGGGAATCTAATATACAGCCCATAAGAAATTAATCGTTTTATTATTCTTTTTTCCGGAAGTATAGGCGAAAAATCGTGTGAGAAAGGAAGTTATGGTGAGAATCGTAAAAAGTGATCTAAACCCTTGATCATTTTCAATCTCATGCCCAACCATGAATTGCGCTTTAGAAATGAATTGATCTGGTGCATCTCGGTGTACCTCGTTAGTGTTGACATTCAATTAGGATATGATTTATCCAAAGTTGTAGATGTCTTCTTACGTTTTTCACCATAACTTCCCTTTTCACCGGAATCCAACTCTTTGTATATACACACACACACGTACATATACATATATGTTTGTATGTAAACATCTAAATGGTTTTAACAACGATAGGTAGTATGGATTTCTCGTGTGGCGGTAAAGCTCCTCCTCTGCCTCCTCCTCGACCACGATCACCCTTTAACGCCACCAACGGTAAGCATCAATCCCCTCTCCCTACCCTCATCCCATTTATAACAATGAACGATAATTATCGTGGTTTTGTGTAGCTTGTAGCTTGGTTTGGTGTGGCGCCGGTGATTGTGTGGCTAACGGAAACAGACATCACTGTCGGTGTCATAATGATGCCGATAATTTGTTCAACAATTCTGCCTTTATTTGCATGAGAAAATGTAAGTGTTCGAAAATTTCATTTCTTATTATCACCATCAGGGTGCTCAAAAATCCGACCAACCCGATCAACCCAACGCGAAATAACTTAACCCGATGTCTAATCGAGTTGTAAAATTTTCAAACCGTAGGTATTGAGTTTACTATTATTTAAACCCAACCCAATCATATGAACCCGGTATCCTTTTATTCTTGGATTTAATATGATTGTTGAATTTATATTAATATATACTTAGACAATTACACTATCACGTATGTTCTTCATATACACATATTTTCTATTTACATCTCTATAACATATATATGTAAATTGAGAAAATTAACTGAATGTGATATATGTAAGAAGTATGGATAAGTTTGTATCAAATGGTTGATGATGAAAAAGAAATTATGAGTAAATAAATAACATATTCAAGGTTAGAGGAATATTTTAATGTACCAAAGTATCAACCCGACCAATCCGTACGGTTTGGGTTGGGTTTGGGTTGAGATTTTTCAAACCATAAGCATTACGTTAGGTTGTTCAAATATTTTCAACTCGATCAATCCAACCCATGAACACCCCTAATTACCACAATTTCAAATTTTCAAAAATATCGAATATGTTGATCTTTCTTGTAGGTTATTTTAAAGCAGATTGCAACCATCTTGGTATTGCCCTAACGTCACCGCCACCCCCTCCGCCTCCCACCAGTGCAGGATCTCGTAAGTTTTTTTGAAGTATATAATATTTATATACGGTAAATACAACAAATAAACTCACACACCTTTCTCACTTTTGGTAAGGCTTGAACCCCCTGACCTTGATCTTCTAGGTGGTCAAATACTACAATACCGCTAGGCCAAAGGCCCTTTTGTAGTGATACTAAGTTATATTGTAGTAGTTTGTATTAATAACGAATAATGTAATGAAACCATATGTCTTTTTGTAGGGAGAAACAAGATTACGTATACAATGATAGAGCTTTTCATGATCAGTATTGCCGTTTTCATGACAACCATTCTAGCAGTGACTTAATAGTATACATTGCCGAAAGAACTTGGAACAAAAGCTGAAGCCGACTTGCCAGTAAATAAATACAGTTGTTTCTATTTTGAGACTGTATCTGAATACAATTTTTTTTTTACCAAAATCCACTACTTATATGTGGTATTAGGCCTGTTCATCGCTTGCATCCATTGGATGTTGGATTTTGTCAACCGATCCGATCTGATTAACATTGGATAACTGATCAAATCCAAGCCAATGGATGACTGGATTGGTTCGGTTCCGTCCATTGGATACTTTTATTGGATATCCAATGGATGATCCGATGGGATTGGATCCATCCAGTGTGTTAATTCAATATAATTCTCTAATAATGATACAAATTAATTAATCACTTTTAATATGTGTTAAAACTAACACAAGAGAAGTTAAAAATTCAAAGCCTCACATAAAACAAATTCCAATTCAAACAATATGAAAATAAATTAATTGGATTAATAACTTTAATCAATCATATATAACGATTATAAGTATTAATACAACAAAATAAATTTATATTTGAATGACCAAAAAATAAAGGTAGTGAAACTCAATTCCTACGTAATAAAAATTAAAATTTTTAATGGAAAAATTAAGGCAAATTGTATGAAAAAATAACGTACTTTAACTCGATTCTTATTTTGGGTAACGTATTTTTAAAACTTTCATTTTGGTACCTAAGATGTAAAATTTTAAACATTTAAGTACCCGGGTAACCGGTTGAAACATTAATCCGTTATCATACTGATGTAGCGGGTGATGTAGTATTCAACTCAGTATTATTTGCTGACATGGTTAGTGACATGGATTTTTTATAATCTAAAATCAGTTTTCAACCAGTTACACGATACTTAAATGTTTAAAACTTTACATCTTAGGTAACAAAATGAAAATTATAAAAAATACATTAAATCAAGTTAAAGTACGTTACTTTTTCATGCGATTTGCCCAATTAAAAATTCATATACATTTATAATTTTGCATTCATATTTTCAATGTAAAAATTATCTCATGCTATTAAATCATTTGAGTAATATCATATATTCATGAACTTTCTTCAAAAAATGTAGAAGTTACCATTATTTACTCTTTTAATTAAAACCGATATTCAGTCTGTGTATCCAATAACCAAACTGAATAAGATTAACCTTAAACAGATTATAGATTATTTAGGAGCAGTTTACAGTTGCTGCAGAATGATTAAGTTGTCAGAATGGTTAACAGACTTTCATGATATAGTGCAAAATGAAATATAATTGTCTGGTAGTTATTTACAATGAAATTAAGGCGCTGAATGGTTAAGGGAGATCATTGATACAAAATCATTCAGAGAGTTTTAGAACCATTAAGAGACAAAAAATACCGTAAACTGACGACTGTCAAAATCTTAAAACATAAATACCATCAATCAAAAGCATCTGGTTAATAGAAACCAAGGACGGACCCAAAAAAAATTTCAAACGGTGGCACCATTTGGTTATAAGAAAAAACTGTAGCGAAAAAATTTCAAACAGTGGCACCGGTTGACTATAAGAAACAAATATACAAAAAAAAAAAAAAAATCAATCGGCGCCACTATTTGACTAAAAAAATGACATTAACAAGATTTGAATTTGGGTCTTGAGTGGAATAAAAGCCTTGCAAACCAACCCTACCAAATAAAACATGTTCTCACTGTAGTTTCAAAATACTTATGGTGACACACAACAGATTAATACGGTTGCACATTTCACGAACCTAAATTTATTTTTTCCCTTCGACGGAGACATAATACGGTGGCACGATCACCATGGTAGGTCCGCCCATGATAGAAACTGACGACTGTCAAAATCTATAAACCAGATATATCTGTTATCAACTGTATTTAATATTACATACATTTAAATCAGATAAAATTTTACAGTATTTATTTTTTATGATAGTATAAAACACAGCCGTCATAGATCTATGAAATGGCTCTTGAAGAGGTTCAATGCACACAACTTGATTCATTTGTTGGGTTGTATTATATCACTTGGTTTGGTTGTATTATTATTATATCAAATGGCATTGGCATTGGCCGGTGAGGCGGTCACTTGGCCTACGATTCAAAGTTCCAAAGCCCCAAATCAAATTGTGGCTTTGTTTTACTCTCATTATCCATTAAACCGAATCAGATATTTTAGAACTGATATTTTATCTGATATATTCATTAAAATTACATCGTTATATTTGATTTTAATCGAATCCCGCTTCGTGACATGTTCACAGCCTGAGATTTGGTGAACTGGATCTGGGATCGATCCATACGTCATCTAAATGACCGGTACTAGGTCAGGTCCACTTAAGGAACCTAGTTATGACTGTATAGCCACCATGGAAGAAAACCCGACTATGGTGCCCCATTGATTGGGTGTGTTCTGAAAACGATGAACAAAAGAGCCACCACGAAGTGTGATAATCTGATAACGATTCAGTGTTTAACGAATAGTTGAATATAATTATTAGATTGATTTGGAATAATACGAGAGAACGGAGACTTTACGGAAATGGATATTAACCATTTCAGACTGTTATTTTGTTTATAAATGGTAAGATGTAACAGATTACCCCTGATTTTCTAATGTTATTTTACAAAAATTACTTCGATTACAACAACACATTGTTGATCATAAAACTATCGTGCAACAAACTTAAGAATGGTGATTTTTCCCGACCCGATGGGGGAACCCGGCTCACCCGATCCGAATGGGGACGGGATTCCCCGCTAAAACGGGTCTCGGGGCCAGAGATCCCCGGTAGACTCAAACTAATGGATATTCTTTTATGGAGTTTGACCGTGGTTTGACCGGGACAGGATGTTAATCCTCGTACCTGCCGGGAACCGAGGCCGAGGCCGGGGCCGGGGGCTGTTACTAAAAACCAGGGCCGGGGATTACAAAACCCGCCCCATCCCCGCGTCATTGCCATGCCTAAATAAACTATATAATCATAAAAATTTTGTAGTCTACTTCTTAATAAATGGTCGATAGCTCAGTAAACAGTATAGAGTTAAAAGATATCTGATGGATAAAAGCTGTGGTTTGAATTGTGACACCCTCGTTTTTTTACAACCACAATGTCTCAGGATCTTTTATCTTAAATGTTTTTGTTGGACACAGAATTTAGCATTTATTTCCTATGGAAGTTATTACATGAAAAGACAAAGATTGATTATAAAGGCAGTCAAAATACAGTCTAACGTTATGTCTGGTAAACTGGGTGAAAATTAAAACTAATTGCTGGCTGATAAAACAGTTCATATATAAAAAGTTAGCTGATAAATTAATCATGTTTGACAAAAACTAACTGATGAGCTAATTGGGAAATTTAAGTAACCAAAAATTACATGTTAATATATTAATCAGTTATAACATACATAATACAATTAAACAAAATCAGAAATAACATGATATCTTAATTAACAGAACCCCGATGGTATAAAAAATTTAGATATATAATGTGTTCGTTAACAGAACTTCGATCTGATTATATATACACACATACTGTAGATGCGGATTTATGTAACTGAATACAGATTTGATTTTTGACGGGATAAATCTATTGAATAATAATTAACACTGACTTAAAATACTTAATAATTAATATTAGTTGGTAGTTAAAAACTGATATTAATTCATAATTTACAATTAATTGTTATTAATAATTAATAATTTGTATTTAGTATTAATTAATAATCATAATAAAAATAATAATAATAACTAAAGTAATTTAATAATAGTGAGGGCTATAATATAAAGAAAGTGACAAAAAGCTCATGAGAAGGCTACTCTGAATACCATTTCATTAAGCTAGTTTATGGTCATCTAAACGTGGCTTTTTCAATAAGCTAGTTTGTGGTTATCAAACGACGCTTAATTTGCATTCCCGTTTTTTGGTTTAAAGATGTGATGTTCTAGCGGTAAATTTATTACCCAGAGCAGACATGA